AAGTTTCACTCTAACGGACACTATAAAAGTTTTCATAAAAGTTATTAGAGATTGAAGAATTTTCTTGTTACTTACAGCATTTAAAAAACATTAGTTTATGACGTTAATTATTGAAATTGACCAAACATTAGCTCTTGTTTCAGTTAATGGTCTCCTTGTATGCAGATGACGTTACTATTTATATGAATGAATACACTTGAAAATAATCGCCTGTATCTTTTTAACACATTGCAGTGGGTTGTCGTCTATTTCCAAGACATCTAGCTGATATTTCCCATCATGTATTCAAGTATTTAACGTCCATCTCTTCAGTCTTAGAGTTTAAATAACTGACAGCTGCTCGTTGGGGAACAGGAAGATGAATATTCGAGTTAAAGCTTCTCATCACTGTTAGAAGCTTATCATCTGAAAAGCCCTGAATCAAGACTTGCAGGGATTTGCCGTCTGTGAAGCTAACATTAGCTCAAGCTGAGAAAGTGCTGAGTCAGCCATTACATCTACTTGAAAGTTTATCATCTCCTTTTTGTCCGTGGATGAATTTAAAACTGAGACAGAACATAGTACAACGAAGCTCAAACCTTCGAGTCTTTCCGCTATATATTTTTTTGTGATCACATTTTTATTGAGATTAATACACATGTTCAACCAAAAGCACAACGTTTTTCTTATTTAAATAAAATAACTAAAAGTACATAAGAAAAAGAAAATGTGGACAAATACACAGAACACATTATGTAAGCTAAAAATAATTCCGCTATATGTTTAATTTATCCAGTTGCATGTCCATTTCATTTATCCATCAATTTCAAGCGTTGACTTGGTGAACAATATGCCACAAGGAGCCCATTCAAAGCAGCTCTACTTCTTTACCTCTGGGCTTTCACATTTGCATATTGAAATTCAACTGCAACACAAGCAAAATTAAAATAACGACAACTCTTTTTAAAGCCAGGTGTGAATGCAAAGGCCTTTGCTCAGATGTCATTATCCAAATAAGCCTTCCTGATACAGAGCTCATGTTGACGCCAGGTGAGAACCAGGAAAAAGTCTCACAAGAGGAAATGATTCCAACTCTTAACCAACAGTATGTAGTACTAATGTATAACTATTAGGGGTGCAACAACTAATCGACTTAATCGATGACCAAATTAGTTGCCAACTACTTCAGTCGTCGATTCGTTGGGCCCATGTTGTTACTCTCTGTTTGCGGAGCTGGCTACGTCACTCGGGGGGAAAACACATTCGAAAAATGAGGAAGCGTAGAGAAGCACGGTCCGACTAAAATCTTCAACAGCGTGGGAGCACTTCACTTTAAACAACAGTAAAAAGTGTGTTACCTGCAGGCCCGCCCCTCCCTTCTCGCAGATCAAGCAGACTGCGTGGGGCCTCATCTTGCGGAGGGGGCCTCGTCTGATGCGCTAATGCGGCGCAATTAAGCGCGCCACAGTTTCGCCGCTGCGAGGCTCCGACGCCATGGATGTATGATACAAATTGGATACAGCGTGGGAGGCGGGGTCTCGTTCTTTCCTATGAGAGCTGCTCATTGGCGTATGAGGACAAAATGGCCCAACTTTTGAGAGAGCGAAACGTCCCAGATTACCCATCATGCCTAGCTGTCAGAGCAGAAGAACCCGTATGTGCGCTCACAGAGCATGCGCAGTTGAGTTGATTAACGTTATTAGCACATTTTATAAATTGAGGACCTAATGTTTGTAATAAGGGCTATACAAACGTTCAGACTGGGTAGTTTATTTGGTTGAAAAAAAATTATCCGACGATTTGCAGACCTTTCTTTCCCCATGTTAGTCAATGGGAAAAAGTATGTCTGGGCCCAGGGACGTCACGGACTGATACGGAAGTTGCAGATCCGCCGTTTGGACACAAAGAATATTTTCCTCAGAGTCCGGCGCACATCCTGGGGGCTTGTCCGGCACTCGCAGTTCACGCACGGGCTCCACTAGCACCCATCAATTTATTGATTCAGCTATTTCAAAGTGTTTGCAAATTTGCAGAAAATAGGTCGGGTTGAAACACTGTGCTGTATTTATGTGTGTGTAAGAAAGTGTAACTGCAGACTAGTGTTGCACGGTGTACTGATACTTGAAAGGTACCGCGATACCCTGCCGTTAAAAACGTTACGATTCCTCCATTTCATTAGTATCGGTACTTTAAGAATGACGGGGGAAAGTACTCCGGTGAGAAAGCGCCGTTTTAATAAGAGCCGTGTGTGTTCAGCGCTCTGCTTCCACTCCCCTCTCAAGCAAGCTCTAAGTCCCTCAAGCACGCTCTAAGTCCCTCCCCTCTCAAGCATGCTCTAAGTCCCTCCCCTCTCAAGCACGCTCTAAGTCCCTCCCCTCTCAAACACGCTCTAAGTGCCGCCCCTCTCAAGCAAGCTCTAAGTCCCTCAAGCACGCTCTAAGTCCCGCCCCTCTCAAGCATGCTCTAAGTCCCTCCCCTCTCAAGCACGCTCTAAGTCCCTCCCCTCTCAAGCACGCTCTAAGTCCCTCCCCTCTCAAGCACGCTCTAAGTCCCTCCCCTCTCAAGCACGCTCTAAGTCCCTCCCCTCTCAAGCACGCTCTAAGTCCCGCCCCTCTCAAGCATGCTCTAAGTCCCTCCCCTCTCAAGCACGCTCTAAGTCCCTCCCCTCTCAAGCACGCTCTAAGTCCCTCCCCTCTCAAGCACGCTCTAAGTCCCTCCCCTCTCGTGCACGCTCTAAGTGCCGCCCCTCTCAAGCACGCTCTAAGTGCCGCCCCTCTCAAGCACGCTCTAAGTCCCTCCCCTCTCAAGGACGCTCTAAGTCCCTCCCCTCTCATGCACGCTCTAAGTCCCTCCCCTCTCAAGCACGCTCTAAGTGCCTCCCCTCTCAAGGACGCTCTAAGTCCCTCCCCTCTCATGCACGCTCTAAGTCCCGCCCCTCTCAAGCACGCTCTAAGTGCCTCCCCTCTCAAACACGCTCTAAGTCCCTCCCCTTACTCGTGCACGCGCTAGCTGCCAGAGCATGTGAGAAGCATGGCTGCAAGTGGGAGTGTAACTGCCGCTGCGCCTCGGCTTGTTGACAAAAAAGACGCCAGAAGCGAAAAACAAAAAAGTTGTTTATAGATGATGCTTAATTGTATTTAATACAAATTCTAGTCATTTATTTAATTTATTGTTCTCATTGTTTAAAAGTTTGTGTTCTGGTTCTGGTGTGAGATAAAGCACAATAATTACATTTATGACTGTTTCCCCTTTTTTAAGAAATCGAAAAATAATTCGGAATCGCAATTCTTGACTTGGTATCGAAACCAAAATGTTGGTATCGTGACACTCGAGACAATCTACCTATTAGTTGTAGCAAAGCCTGTTAACACTTTTTGTGAATCACAATTTAATTTTGTATCATTTGTTATAATGTGTTCTTTATAACGGCTCAGGTCCATTAGTTAGGTTAGTTATCATTGTTGATCATTTGAAAGAACATTGTTTTTGTTCGAGCAACCTAAAGCGACATAAGCTGTTGTATAGCTTTTGCATATGTTTTATGGCCTACATTTGTGTTGATGTTGTCAATTTGGAAATGCAGTTTTCTGAATAAAATAATGAAGAAAAAATGTGGGCGTGTTTTTTATCCGATTAATCGTATAAATAATCAACAGATTAATCGATTATCAAATTAGTCGTTTGTTGCAGCCCTAATACATATTATATTTTAAAGTGGAGGGCTGTAGAAAACTTCTCAAAGCTCCTCTGGGGATTGACTCAAAATGGGATTTCACTCTGCTTTAATGCACTTACTTATATTCTTTTAATATCTGACACAGCCTAAATATCAATATGCAAAATGTGAATGTTACCTTAGCTTGTGATAGTATTTATGTATTTATTTCTTTCATGCAGAACATATCCAGAAGCTCAAGTGTTACAATTAGGTTTTATGATACCGTTTGGACTTCCAAAAACACTGCTCTAGTATCTTTTTATAAAGGTCTCCATAAGTTCTGGCATTAGGTATTCTTCCTGGAGACATGCAGCCAAACTCACATTTATATATGCATTTTGCTTTACTAGCTAACAGTACAGCAGACGAGCTAATACCTCATTCACACCAACGGTGTTTCAGGGCCGGTTCGGAGCTGGAGCTTGAAAAGCACTGGGTTTTCCTGTTCACACCGCAGCGGAGCAGCCTCTTGGCTCCGGAATCCGGTTCGTTTCAAGCACCAACAAATTGTCCGGCTAGAGCAAAAGCACCGCATACGTCACGCTTACGTCGAGGCGGGGGCAGGGGCGGGATCAACTCCTGAACAACAACAAAAAGCCAGCGCTTTATCCAGTTTGTACACAACGATGGAGAAACGTAACAAGCAGCAGTGGTCCACTGAAGAGACCAGCTACCTGCTGGGAATCCGGTCTGCCGAAGAGGTAGAGGAAGCTGGAGCACAATCGGCCATTGTTGTTGTTGTTGTTGTTGTTGTCTGTGTCGCTGTGAGGGGTTTCCGCGCGGTTTGGCTTTATGAAGCAGGCACGCAAACGGTTACGTCATGACTCAAACGATGACGCAATGACGCAGCACCAGTCGGACTCTGGGCGGTGTGAAAAGAGCCGGAGCTAAACCGAAGAACCGGTTCTGAACCTGAAAAGCTCTAGCACGGAGCTTGATCCGGAGTTGCGTTGGTGTGAATGAGGTATCAGACTGCACAAAAAGTAGTGCCATTATGTTGGATTATAGTCAATGTGATGAATGCAAAGCTCTAGTCCTGCTTAGATATCTTAATATCTGACACCTTGTCGCAGTCATAGCCTAAATGTCAATATTGAAATGTTGAGTCATATTGTGAGTTTGTCTGGTGGATGCTTGTGAAACCCCCTCTGAGTAAAAGTCGTTTTGTCTGTGGTAGAAGAATGAGTCAAGGAAGTGATGTACCTGCAACAAGAGGGATTAGTTTCAGTATCGCAGTTACCGTTGACTTCAATATTTGAGTTCTCTTTTGACTAAACGCTCTCTGTTTCTGTGTACTTTCCAGGTCGATCAAGGCGTTCCAGGAGGTTCTTTACATCGACCCCAGCTTCTCCAGATCTAAAGAGATCCATCTGAGACTGGGACTCATGTTTAAAGTCAATACAAACTACGAGTCCAGCTTAAAGGTAAGAGTAAAGGGTTTTATTTATTCTTTTGTAATATATGTTTTATTGACATTTGGCAGCGAACAATTACAGTGTTTTTTCAAAGACATAGTTATTGTACATCTTAAGTTTGTCTGTCGGAAATGCCTTTTTCTTTTTCTAGAAAAATAATATAAAAACAGTAAAAAGTACGAACATTAGGGAGTGATCAGGACTTCACAGTAAAATCAAACGTTTGTACGAATAACATCTGGACTATGAAGTTTTACGAAATCAGTGCACTCTCTCCATCAAATAGTTCCAGTTTGTGATTGACAGATGATTTTATCCTCTCCATTTTGTAAATGTCCATCCATGCGTTTAGAGTTGGGCTATCTGGTGATAACCACTTCATTTTAAAGGGGACCTATCATGCAAAATGCGCTTTTTTATGTCTTCTATACATATATGTGTCCCCGGTGTGTCGGGGAACTCACGCAGCGTCAGGAAATAAAACCCTCTCTCTTTTCCCTCCGTACCCAAATCTCTAAAAACGGGGAACAACGGAGCTGATCCAGATTTGCGTCTGATATGACGTAATATCTGAAATGTGGACCCACGACCCAATCAGAAACGTTGCTATCAGAAACAATGCCCGACTGTTTTGGACGTAATATGGTCGGTGTTTACATTAGCATCGCTAACACTCAGAGCTAACCTGTACTGGAGAGCATGTGTGTGAAGAAGCAGGAAGTAAAAAGGAACTCACCTTGTGGTATAACCGGCAAGAGAGAAAGCCTTTGAGCTCCAAACTGTTTCAGAGAGAATCCTTGATAATCCATGATATGGAGTTTCATCACGGTAGAATCTAACTCCTTTTTTTTTATCATTTTTTTTTTTAAAGCTTTATACACAAAATCAGCACTTTTGAAACAGGAAGTGAAATAGAGCGATATGAGGCGTGGCTAGAATGGGAGACCTGTTTGGTATTTTGAGCAAAGCACTTCATAGACATGTTTTTTATATATTTTTATATATCTGAGACCCATGCTATTGCCTAAAGATAGCATGATAGGTGACCTTTAAAAGAGCTTTTTTTTGTATTCGCCACCAGCAACAGATTTAATACATATTTGTCTTTTTTAGTCCATTCTTGAGGTATGACTCCAACAAACAAAGTCTTACTCTCCATGGGCACATGACATTTGAAAATATCTTGTAAGGCATTATGTGTCTCTCTCCAAAAGACATGATCATTTAATAACATAGCAACATTGTCTCCAGCAGTATTTGTCAAGAGTAACGGGTTTTAAATGATATGAATGAAATGGGAGTCGTGGTGTGTGTTTTTGGTTCAGGTCACGGTCGGGTCACAGAGGCCCTGATAAGAGTTCACTTTCATCATCATATCCTGTGTTTGTTTTCGTGTGTGTGTATGTGTGTGTGTGTGTGTGTGTGGCCTAGCATTACTATACTTGTGGGGACCTAAATCTGTTTACACAGTCACGTGTGGGGACTCGCCTCCCTTATGGGGACAAATTGGAGGTCTCCATGAGGGGAATCATTAATTGTAGGGTGAAGACTTGGTTAGGTTTAGGGTCAGGTTGGGGAAGAGTGCAGGGCTCCGGAGGTAAATAGGTGTTTAAAAAAACATTAAAAACCTCCGTAAACATAAACCTTATAAAAACCCTTTTAAAAGCATTGTAAAAGCTCCGTGAGGACAAGACCCTTTCAAAAGAGTGGTTAAAAAGTGCAGAGCGGAGCTGGACCACAGAACAGCGGCAGAGTATGTTAAAAAGCAGATCTCCCCGTCCCAGGGACACACCCGCAGAGAAGGGAATTCAAAATCACCCATCTGCAGGGGAGATGTTAGGTTAGGGTTAGGCATGTGTTGGTTATGGTTAAGGTTAGGATAAGTCTCCAGGAAATGCATGTAAGTCAATGTAATGTCCCCTGAAGTGTGTGTGTGTGTGTGTGTGTGTGTGTGTGTGTGTGTGTGTGTGTGTGTGTGTGTGTGTGTGTGGTGTGTGTGTGTGTGTGTGTGTGTGTGTTGTGTGTGTGGTGTGTGTGTGTGTGTGTGTGTGTGTGTGTGTGTGTGTGTGGTGTGTGTGTGTGTGTGTGGTGTGTGTGTGGTGTGTGTGTGTGTGTGTGTGTGTGTGTGTGTGGTGTGTGTGTGTGTGTGTGTGTGTGTGTGTGTGTGTGTGTGTGTGTGTGTGTGTGTGTGTGAAAGATTACTCTTCCTACGGTATTTATAGGGGAAAATGCACAGTTTTTGTTATTATTTTGGCTGATATTGTGATATGTTTAACGATATTGGAGAGATGGATCATTTTTGCCGGATCTGTGCAAAACAAAGATTTCTTAAGATGTCCGTATAATAAAATGTATAAGCGTCAATGCAATGTTGTGCCTTCTGCAATCTGGATATTACTATTATCCAATTGTGATGCAACCCTTAGTAGTAGTATTACAGCATCTCCTTTTATTATTTACTGATTGATCCACTAACAGAGAGCTGTGGCTTTGGATGTATAGTTGTCGTCCACCAATCAGTGTGTGTGTGAAAGTTTTTCCTCATGAGACTATTTTGGAGGCTTCCTCATGAATGAATGGGTGTGTGAAGTCAGTAGTCACAACGACTAAGAAAAGCTCTTTATAAGCACAGCTAATTTACCAAAAATGATGACCTTGCTTTTGTGACTGACCAGGGAAACCATTACAACTTTAAAGTGTGCACACTAACCAGAAACCCCTTTATCTTCAATGCTTAATTTGCATGTTGTGCTGCCGTGAACAAGTACTTTTACCCAGCATATATCTTCCATTATTCTCTTAATACTAGGGCTGCAACAAACGACTAATTTGATAATCGATTAATGAAACGATTATTCGGATCGTTAAGGTTTTAACGGTACTACTACTTTTATAGCGCTTATCGATCCGGTCTTTTAACGGTACTCTTATCGGTTCTTTTGGAAAAAAAACGGTAAACTAACTTAACAAATTGTGAACAAAACTAACAATGCTTTTTATTTAAATTAAATACATAATATTTCACATCAAAAGAAACAACAATGTTTTAATAAATGGTATTAAATAATCTGAAGACAGAACTGTAAACAGAATCGCTGAAACTTTAACAAAATAAATAACTCAGTTACATCTGATCATTAACCCATGTTTGTATAAGTAAGTAAAACTTTATTTATATAGCACCCTTCTCAACACGGATGTACAAAGTGCTTTACAGTACAGTACACAGGACACAATTCAAAGTACAACTATAACATGTAGAATAAAAGGCATAAAACAGCAGCAGGTAATACTTAGGATAAAACATACGACAAAACACCAATAAAAAAGACAGCCACTAACTCACCTCCTCCGACGACCCAAAGGCCTGTCGGAGGAGGTGTAAGGGCGGTAACACGAGCAATGTATAATGTAGTTAAATCCGTGTGTTGCTGCTAGCATAACACCTGACGTGGAAACGTTACTCGTGGACGGGGCTACAGAGCTGCTAGAAAGACAGTTGAACCCGGCGCATTCCTCCGTCTGGATGTGGAGCACTTTTGATAAATGTTTAGACAAATTGCTCGTGTTACCGCCCTCACATGCTAAACTCTTATTGCACTTTTGGCAACGAGGATTGTCCGCATCGACACGGGTAAAATGTAACCACACCTCGGAGTGCGCTCTCTCTGCCATCTCCGCAGTGTGTGTGTGTTGCTGCATGTAGCAGCCGGGTGTGTGTTGCATGCATGTAGCAGCCGGGTGTGTGTTGCTGCATGTAGCAGCCGGGTGTGTGTTGCTGCATGTAGCAGCTGCGTGTGTGTAAACCGCCCCGCCCCCTCGCACACAGACGGGGAGAGAGATCTCGTCTGGATTGGAAAGATAGAAAATACATCATAGACACATTTTGTAGTCTTATTGCATATTAGAAACGGAGTTAACGATTAGTTGTTGCACCCCTACCTAACACTCCTGTCCTGTAGACTCTTTATACTCGGATGAAGTCGTCAGAAATCTGTGGTTGAATGTAGAAGAAACGCACTCCTCTCTTCCTCTTCCTCCTCTCTTCGAAGGCAGTGATACCGGCATCATCAGGGGATCAGTTTCCTCTCCTTAAAGCTGCTGTGGGGTCAGAGACGATCCTTCCTTCCTCTCTGATCCTCAGAGGAACAAAAGGCTGGAGGATCCTCTGTCTGCGGACACCTGTGAGCTGCAGCTGCTCAGACACTGATAAAAGCTTTGAGATGGAGCCGCTGTCTGTTGTCGGAGAGTCACGACTCCCTTCAATGATATCTGATCCTGAGCCTTTGTCCTACTACAGACGTTTAGTCACAGGAATGTGTATTATGCATAATAGTGAGGGTTGCAGATAGGGCTGGGCAACATACATGTGTGTTTTACCACCGCTGTTTGTCCTTTGTTTGGTGTTCATTTGTTGTAACGTTGTTCATGCTGCCCTCTTGGCCATGTCGCTCTTGAAAAATAGATTTTAATCAACTTTTACCTGGTTAAATAAAGAGATGGAGATATGTGTGGGGGAAACTTCTGAAGCAATAGTAGTCAGGACTCAGAGAGACACGAGGAGAGCTGGAGCTTTGATGGCAAACACTGACGGTTTATTTGGAGCTTCGGCCGGAGAATTCACACGACATGTCACGGGCCACGGTCTGACCACACGGTAGTAGGGGTGTAACGGTATCCGTATTCGTCCCGTACCGTCACGGTTCAGACGTCACGGTTCGGCACATGCAGTCACACGGCGAATACGGCTTTTGTTTACGAGTGGGAAAAAAGTCTGTCACTCAGGGCAGCATTACACTATATATAATCCAGGGGGCAGTATTGCGCCTAAAAGCCAGCCGCCCGTAAATAACCAATGAAGAACAAAACACAACAAAACTAACACAATACATGAAGAAGAACAGTTAGTAGCTACGGCGAGTTCACACAACACACAGGAGCTAGAAGACCCACCTGCTTCTTTTGAATCAGGTGTGGGAACATTTCGGGTTCCCTGTGGACTACAACAA